GTCCTCCAGCCTCCGCTCCTCATCAGGGATGGAGGCAGACACGTCTGGAATAACAGCCGCCCTCCAGCTCTCTGATGTCTTTCACCAGCTTAGCAGAGTTAGCATAGGTTGCATATCTCATAACATCGATTAGCATGTTATGAGATTAGCATAGCATGCTAATCCAGTCATCTCTATCATTTCCATGGTGACACTCTTTCAGGGATGATTTGTCTGGTTTAATCTTCATCTATCATGGATCATTGAACCTTTAGCCGATTGTCTGCAGGCCTCATTCCCGCTACAACACCGTTAATCCTCACCCACCACCAGGGGGTGACGAAGGGGCTCGGGTGATAGGATTTTATTTTCTTCCATAACAGTGCCCTACGAACTAGCTCTAATAAAAAGTCTTTATTGCCACATTTCTGTTTCCCTCTTCTGTTTTCACTAAAAGAACTTAGTAATTTTACACGGATATAATAACTCCAATCGTTAGGGATGATTGGTCCCCAGCCCCCACCCACAGATATGAAGGGAAGCACCCACCAATCATCTGACTGATGGGTGTAGACCTCCCCCCAGGCTGAAGCTCAGGTGCCCACTCCGTCCCTCTGTAGCTAACAGCTAAAGTTTATTCAGGAGAAATATCCTCCACTTTAAAGGAAGGACTAGAGCCAGAATGTGAAGCAACTCTAAATGCTAAAGTCGATTTGTCTTCAATCTTCACCAAGTGAATATATTGAGTCAGTATTCTGACTAAAGTGCAACCATGTAGTAAATACCGATATGAACATCTGCATTTAAAACACAGATGGAAACTACTCTTCATGCACATTTTAATGGTTCATTTGTGCAGCTGCAAAAAACAATCTAGAAATAAGTAAAAATTCCTTAAATCAAGTGTATTTTACCTTAATTTTATTAGGTAAATGGAATGATTTGCCAATGGAATTAGTATTTTTACTCTTAAAATAAGATAATTAGATAAAATGCACTTGTAATAAGACAATGCAGTTGCTTTTTCTTATTTTAAATGTAAATTGTCTTGTTCCATTGGCAAAATGTCTCTTTTACCTCCTCAATTTAAGAACAAATGCACTTAATTTAGGAACAAATTACTTATTTAGATTTCAATTTTGTGCAGTGAGATTGAACATCATGAGGGTCTCACTATGGGTTAGTTAATGCTCCGTCTGCGTTAGTCACTGTGAGGGTGGAACCGTCTGGAGAAAGGAAACTCAATCATTAGCTCCTTTCAGCTAACCGCTGTCCTCTTTACTTCAACACAGTCATGAATGTGTTCTGACAGCAGCAGCCATGGGCTCCGACACGTTAAAGGAAAAGTCGCTCATATTCAGAATTCAAACTTCTGAAAGTTCTTTAAATCTGAAATGATTCCATCCTGTTCAATAAATGATCAGTGTTTTTAATTCAGAGTAATTTTCATGTGAATGTGCTTTACTGGAGGCATCCATGTTTGTCAAAGAACACTACTGCCACCTACTGGTTAGTGACATTGTCACGGTGCGGTATCGGCTGTTGATCAAGTCCCAGTGCTGTATCTGGTGTTTGTCACAACGCGCTATTATCCAAGTCATCTTGAAAACATTCTTCTTCCAAATGTTGGCTACATATTACGGGTTTTTTCTTTGGCCAGAAGTTCGATGGCAAATCCTCCCTCTTCAAGTTGGCGATCCAACGACCAACCCGTCCGTGGAGGATCAGGAATCAGAAAGGTGGAATAACTCTTTGTTTCACTTTTACCCGATGTTTTCCAGCATCCAGCTGCCATGCACGTGGGCATTGTCAGTTTCACTATAGCTCTGGTGAATTTCAATGGTGAAGTCCTCTGGAAATCTTCAATAATTGTTGTTGATTGCAGATGTGTCTAGTAGTTCCCATTGATTTAGCTTGGAAAGCGGGGAGAATGGCGCTAGGCTTACCGCACCGTGACGTCACTGCTGGAAGATGGCAGGAGGGAGGGGCTACTATGTTTGGGCAAAGATGGCCGCTCCCAGACTCAGTGATCGCAACGAAATTTATATATATATATTTTTTTTTCATTAAATCACTACGAACAGATTAGTTTTAGGTATAAATAATGATCTATTGATTCTTCCTGCTGACCGAACTTTTCCTTTAAATGTGGAACTTAGGAGGAGCTAAGCTAACATTAGCTTTACTGTTTAAATATCATCAAGGGAAGAAGTATTGCCCTTTTGTCACTTAATTTGGCACCTTTTCAGATCCCTCTAGCACATTTATTTTTTAAAAAGCTACAAATCTAGCGACTTTTGTTTCTGTGTTGAAGGAGATTTTGGCGACATAAAAGCGTCGACTTCTGTGCATCTGAGGGAGTTTATCTAAGCCTGCCTCCCCCCTCTCTCTCTCTCTATTCATGAGAGAATGGTTTGGATCGGGTTTCAGTCTAATGGTGCGTCCTGCGTCGTGCCGCGTTACACCCAGTATACTACTGGGTGTAACGAGGGGTGATTAGCAGGAGTCGTAAGATCGGAGAAAATCAAACATGTTTGAAATTCAGTTGCTCCTGAGGCGTTGGTGGTTAAATCGTGCTGGGATTTAAGAAGTCCTGGAAGAAGGGAGTTCTTCTTCCAGATTTACGAGTACGACCAGCGCCATCTCTTCGGATGAGTCCGATGTCTAGTTTTTGGACGTACGGTGTGAGCAGGCGGATCATGTCTGAGAGGAAACACATACATTGTGAGCTAAGAACTTTTAAACCCTGAAATGTCGTCGTACAGCTTGAGTTGTAGCTGCATGCAAAAACTGAAAATATCGTAGAGTGTATGCCCAGCTTTAGGGAAGATGCTATTTTTTTCTTTCCTTGTTTCTGTAAAAGTCCATATAAAACTCTTCAAATCCTCCCTGCTCTCCTATCTCTCTACGCTGCATGACTTTAAATGTGCAAATGAAGCGATAACGTCCTGTAGCGACAGCCAATAGGGACGTTTCTTGCTGAGGAGTTGGAAACACTGAATGTCAGTTTTTCTGAGTTTATTTTCTCCGGCTGGTCGACTGACGTGAGCGCAGAGGAAGCATGCAGTCATGCTGGTGACATACTGGGGCTTCCTGGTATTGGATCGGTCAACATGTGCATGAAGACTGGTTTACACTTTTGACAGAATTCTGACTTGGATCCCAGAGGTTCTGAGTTTGAGTCCCACTCCCACAGACTGCCACAGACGCCACTCTGCTCCCCGGCAGCCCACTGCTCCCCAAGGGGATGCTATATATGCAGAGAGGGAATTTCATTACTCTGCATTTGTGACAGTGGAACGACAATAGAGTTGAATTCTATTTTTTCTATTCTGCAAGGTAGCAATAATAGTGATATGAGGGAGCAGCATTGCTGGTGACTCCCATCCATCTTGGTAACACAAATAGATTCTGTTATATTCAGAGCTTTTTCCAATAGATAATCAGCTCTGCTTAAATCACTCTGAACTGATCAAACTGTCTTAAAGGCGGTTTGATCAAGGAAGCAGTTGAATGGTGGCGATAGAAGTGTTCAAATATGATCAGCTGATAAATGGTAAACTGGTTACCACTGGACTCTATAAGCTTTATCAAAAAGGAATGAAAGAATTGCAATATTCTGCAGATCAAAGAAGGAAATTCTAGAAACCTCTTTGATACGGGATTTAAATGATAAAAAACATTATCAAGATTTTTACTTTATTATCTGAGATCAGTTTAATCCCATAGATAGATTATTGGAAGAGGAAATCAGAGGGAATACTCCAAGTTAAAGGCTTAGATGAAGCTAATAGCTGTGCCAACTCTGAAACTGCAACCGGATCCAAACCATCTAAACCCGGTTCAGATCCTAGTTACAGTAGTAGTGGTTTAAAGGCTCCTCTGTTTCTTTGATGGGTCCTTGACTGGCCGGCCAGTATGCTTGGCTGGAAACCAGAGGTCAGACGGCAGGTTTACGCCTTAAGCTGAACTTTGGTTTATCTCTGGAAGGTGAGTCAACATCTGAGGTACAGAAGTAGCGGTTTCAATCATAGATAGAGGAGTGCTAATGATCTTATGTTTAATAAGATCAATTTTATTTGTAAAGAATCCCATAAAATCATTGCTGCTAACAGCAGGTGGAATGGACGGTTCAACAGAGCTATGGCTCTGGGTGAGTTTGGCAACCGGATTTAAAAGATATTTAGGAGTATTCTTATTCTTTTCTATTAATGAGGAGAAATATGCTGCTTTGCTTTAGGGTCCTCTTATACAGCAGGAAACTATTTTCAAAAAATTCCTTCTTGATAAAGTTTATAGTTGTGCTGCTATAGACGAAGGGGCCTCTGTGAGAGCGTGGCACATGCACAGCTGCTTTCTGTAAGCCATTTTCTTTACAGTATCAGTGCAAGGATGGATTAGCAGAATTTTTGGGGGGTGGGGGTTCAGTGTTTAGTCCCATTTCTCTCCTATATCTATAGGCTCAGCTTTTACTGGAACTAACTGGATCTTCTCTCTTTAACATTTGACATACAAACTGTCCCGAAGCTCATCTGATTAACTTCCTTTCCCAGACGGAGCCACCTGTGGAGCTAGTCAGCTTTTTTAACATAGAAAGTATTCATCAATCAGAGTTTCTATGTTCCTTTTCTATGTCTGCTTCTGTCTCCTTGAACCCCAGTGGGCCTCAGCAGATGGCCGCTCACACTGAGCCTGGTTCTGCTGGAGGTTCCTTCCAGTTCAAAGGGAGTTTTTCCTCTCCACTGTCGCTACAAGCATGCTTAGTGTGAGGGATTGCTGGAGAGTCAAGGACACAATGAAGGCGAATATTGTTGCTAGCTCCCCCAGGTGGACTAGGTCCTACCAGCGCCTTGAGATGAAATATGTTGTGAAGCGGTGCTAAAGATGAATTTTGGAAACTTTCTTTCAAATATTTTTAAAACCATAAAAATGCATTTAATTGCCTTATAGACGATTGCTGTGGCTCAACCTGACAGTTTAGTTTTAGATGCATGTGGTGACATCGACCGTAACCCCCCCCCACGTTTGCAAGCGAGGGGCTTAAACAGTAAATCCCAGAATTCCACTGACCTAGAAAGGTGTTGGTTCTCCTCCACATCCTGTCAGCGTATTTCTCATGCTGAGGTCATGGCTGTTTATTGCGCTGCAACCTGCCTTCATTCACACCCTCAGTCGGCTACACTGCCTGCTTTGCTCCGTGTCATTTCACTGCCTGTGGCGTCACAGGGTGTCTTCATCGCTTCAACTGGCAGAGACCAGAGAGAGACTGTTATCGACTTCAGAGGTCCGTCTTTACGTCCTGCTCCAGCCAATGATCACCTGGTCTTTGGGGTTTGCTCCTCTGAGTGCGTCTTTTGGACCAGCAACACCAGGTCGTGGTTAAGAAGATATGTTTCCAGCTCATCTAAAAACCAGAGAAGAGTACGAGCCCCCTCCATCATGTGCTGCATTTATGAGAAGCAAAGGGCTTTGACCCCCAGGAAGCTAAACTATGCCCGCTACCTTCACTCATGAATAGTATTAGGTGGCATTTGGAGCGTCCCCCCAAAGATCTGCTGATGTACAGCATGAGCTGCAGGAAGCTGTGCTTCATCTGCGGTTCTTAGGAACATCCTGTCCTACCAGGAAGGACTGAAGCAACTTCCACCTCAGATCTTCCTATATTGGCTGTTGGAAATGTAAATGAACCTGGTGCAGCTTATATCCAGAGCTGCTTATTCTCCTTTACTTCCTCTAGATGCTATAAAAACCGTCGCAGGGAAGAGGAACTCTTCGTTAAAACCGGACCTGTAGAACTTCTGTTGCTACTTCATCAAAAAATGACTGAAGAGGTAAAAACGGAGGACGTTAAAATGAAAAAAACACAGACCTGAAATATTCACATTAGTTTCTACCTCTGGGGGAAAAAAGTCCTGCGTGTTTGGTTTGGAGGATGGCGGGTGTATCTGCGAGGTCATGTCCAAGCTAGCGTCCTCATAACCGGGTCTGTGCCTCAGGGATGTAAATCTCGATGCTGTCGGCGCTCTCTGTGGCTGAGTTCTGCCGCACAGAGGCTGCTCTCTTGGCAGCCATCAGGCGCTTTCTGGCCTCCTGCCGCTGCTTCTCAGAGCTCTCCAGCGAGCGGTCTCTGGCCAGCGGCGGGTGGTGGTGGGGGGCCACTTTATGTGGCTTTTTTGGCACAGGAGGTGGAAGTCGCCTCTCCTGGTGAAAGAAAGAGAAGAAGTCAAAGACTGAGAGGATCTTAGGAGAATAACCAAACACTGTCACTCCCAACTGGTCAAATATTGCATTGGAATTACATCTTGGAACTTATGAAGAGGAGAAACAGCTTGTTTTATATGGAAGCTAAAAAAAATCACTTTTAACAACGACAGTGAAGCTAAACCGATGAGTTATGGACTGTGTCAGTGTTTCAATAATTATTCATAAAGCTTCTAGTTAGAGTGGCTCAGGTTATCCTGATCTATCTCTATAGTTCTGCTGCTATAGGCTTAGACTGCTGGAGGACATAGGGACCCCTTTTTCATCATTCTGCTTCATTCTATCTCTATTCTCCCACTGCAGAATCTGTTAGTTCAATCTCTAACGTTCTGCTCTCTCTGCTTTTTCTCATAGTAGCTTCATCTGGTCTGTTCCTGTTTGGCTGTGACTCCATCCTGGAGAGAAATACCAGCTGTGCTGCTGCCATCAACACCTTTGTTTCTAGATGTTGGAGCTTGGCCTGTTTTCCAGTGTAGTCCTGTTTCTCTGACTGTGACTAACTGGATGTGCTCTCTTCATCCTCTGACATGGGAGCTGGCTCGGAGCTCGTCTGCCTGGCTGTGTGTTTCCTGGACGGGGCCGCCTGTGGAGCTGGTTGACAGATGCCTTTTGTATCTATGCTTCTTTTTCTATGTCTGCTTCTGTCTCCTTGAACCCCAGTGGGCCTCAGCAGATGGCCGCTCACACCGAGCCTGGTTCTGCTGGAGGTTTCTTCCTGTTCAAAGGGAGTTTTTCCTCTCCACTGTCGCTACAAGCATGCTTAGTGTGAGGGATTGCTGAAGAGTCAATGAGTCGATGCAATCAGCTGGTTTTCCTTAGATAGAAAACTTTGAATCAATCTGACTGGATGATCTGGTTGAATTGTCTCTATAAAGTGACCTGAGATGATGTCATGATGTAAACTGGTTGTATAAAAATAAACTGAGTTGAAGTGAGAATGAAAGCTGGAATGACTGTGAGTCCTGCAATGTTCTCCTGGTTAGATCTGGTCAGGTCAGGCTAATGGCTAAAGTGAAAATGGCCAAAAAGCCTGTCTGTGCTGAGTCTGATGATCAGCAGTGTCTCCAGTTTAGTGGCACCAGATGAATCCTGAGTTGATTCTGTTTATTCTATAAAAACTAGACCTGAAAAATAAACCCAGCCCTGAATTAAGGGGAGAAATGTAAACATAAAGAGGTGCAGCGGTCTGCTTGCAGACACGGACGACTGGTTCAAGTTTTAAAACCTTCTGACTCAAAAGCTGCTCAGGCAGAGAGGAGAAACATCACCAGGATGAATGTTAAGGGTTTGCATCAGTGTTCATTTCCTCAACCAGGACGATGACAAAAATATTTCATCAACGCCCCTTTTTCCCGTGACGATGACGAGACGACGACGCACAAAGATTGTTTCCAGGAAATAAAAATATGACAAAAAAAAAAAAAGATTTTCGTTAACGAGACTAAGAACAGATAAAATTTACGAATCATTGATGAATGGACATTAAGGAATGTAATTGCCTACAGTTCATTTGTAATTTGTAATTGAATTGTTAATATAAGTGTTTATTGAGCTTCATAGAAGATTACGCGTTGTTGCCCTGTTTATCCCGCATGGCGCCTGTCCCTCAGCGCCTCGCGCCGCTCAGTCAGTAGCAGCAGAGGGCTAATTATACTCCTAGCTCAACTTCGCCGTCATGGCGTGGGGCTCGGTTAGCGCTGTACGGTTTGTTGGAGGAGCTGGGCGAAAACAACGCCTGGATGTATGGAGCCGTTCCTGGGAATCCCCAGCAGCAGCTGCCTCAGGCCCGCTCGCCTCTCCAGGGTTTTCCCCTCCTGTTGGTGGCGGCTGGAAGTAGATGTTAGCGTTTTTCAGGTCTGTGCTACAAACTGCAGGCAGCAGGATAATAAAAGCCAACATATTCTGCCGGCAGGTTTCTACATTTGAAGTTAATTTAGGCGTTAATAAACTGTTTCAGAGGAGTGATCATAGCGCTCTGCATCAGCAGTGCTGCGTCTGACTCCCTGCCAGCTCCCAGATCAGCTTCTTTCATTGGTTGATGCAGCGCATCCAGCAGATAAAGGTCAATGTTTTGCTGCACATCAAGTATTGACTTTAAACCTGCTGCTTCTGCTGCTAGCGGTTAGAACGTAGCATAAGAGACAGGCCAGAAGGAAGAAGAAAACAGTTACACCGTCCACACCGTGTCAAACCAACACTAAACCAAACTTCATTGATACTAGTTTCTAAACAAATCATAAATCTGTGTTTATTTCTTTGGCCACTCTTACTACTTTTTAATTTGTTTTAAAGCTGTTAGCGTGTTTCACAGTGAAGATGGCTCAGAGGTAGAATGCTGCAGTGACATACCAGTCGGCTCATATATCTTGCTGTTTGCAGAAGCAAGACACAAAACATAAAGCCACACATGTGACATGGCTGCAGGCAGCAGAAGGAAGCATGAAGAGGAGGATGAAAAGACAGACATGATGGATCCATGGAGGCCCAGATCGGTCAAGGCCCTGTGGTGTTGTTGGTGATGCAGATTGATGTGTGGCTGTTTGCAAGCGCCTTCACTGTCAACATAAAACAGAAGGAAAAACAAAGAAGCAGACAACAATGAGCCGATGATCCAACATCAGAGAAGACCAGACAGATTGAAACGTATAGAGCAGCTATAGTGAGGAAGGAATATCTGGACATGCATAGCCAGGATGGATGACTTAAGGATCTGATTTGCAGTAAAAAACACCATATATTTAGAAAAATGCCCAAAAATGATTATTTCCTGTAATCTATGGAGCCAGAAAGATCTTTAAGAGCTAAATTTACCATTTTAGGGACCAAAGAAATGACTTGAACTTATCAGATAGTAGAAGCTTCTTTAATGAGATTTGCAGGAAACAAGGTTGGAATTCAGACTGGCTCCCAGGAGAGTAGATCTACCCCCCAATAAAACAAACCAGTGAGCTTTGGCTAGAAAGCAGCATTAGTGATGGTCATTCCAAAGCCCCGTGAACCAATGAAACAATTTCACACAATTGACTAAAACTCGACACGCATGATACATTTGATACAGTTTAGAATGGCGGCATCTGCTGGACGCTAACAGAACTACAACTGAGAGGTATCGTAATGTTAGCATTATTTCACGGTTGATTTCATTTGTTTCATAATAATTCTATTGATGATGAGAGTAAAACACTAATACCGGACCTGTAAAATTGCAAAACGATACACTGCCAAAAAAATTAAAATCTAAAAAAGTAACTTTTTTCTTAAACTCGTAGGGAAACGGCTGTTCCAACCGTTGAATTTCCGAACTCTTCTGTGCGGTGCACGACTTTACACGGGTGAATAAAGTGAGTGTGATTGGTTGATTATCAAGAGGGAGGGACTGTTGTGGCAGAAGGTTCGCAAGCAAGTTTGGTTGTGGCCGATGTCTTTGGAAACATCTTCCAAACCAGTGTGGTCAGAAAATTTTATTTTTCTTATTTCAAATATTAATTTATCCTATTTACTCACTATAAACTTTTCACTCAGTCTGTTTCCCCTGCAAAGCAACGCCATTCCCCTGCGTTAAGGTGTTTGTAGAGCAGACGTAGCTTCTTGCCAAAACAAACCAGATTCTTTCTCCAGGTTTATTCATAACATGTTACTGTTTAACCAAAGTGTCTGTAATATGTATTATAGACTCTGACTACTTTCTATTATTGTAAGTAAAGGGAGAAACACTCTGCCCAGGCAGAACAGGGCTGATTACAGAGCGGTATGATGAACTGTTCTCTCTTTGCAAAGATATGAAAATAAGGTGCCAGTAAGTCTGAAGGAAGGGTTTAATCTTTCCTTCAGACTAAATCCCGGCTTTATTTATCAGTTCAAATACGCATAAACCATCCTATACCGCTCCAATCAAGTTTCAGTATTATGGTTTAAGGCAGGACATACAGCCGTGATGAAAGCAAGAGTTGCAGAGCCCAAAGCCGACCAAATAAACCAGGCAGCAGAAGAGGATGGATGCATAGCTGCTGCTGCTTCCACACCTCTTTCATCATCCTCCATTTTATCTCTCAAAGAGCAACAGTGAGACAGGAAAAGAGGGAGTTATTGAGGTTTATCGTGGTTTCTGCCAAGATTGGCTAAAAGCAAACTTTGGTAGACTGTTGGCCTGGCTGAATAGGTGGGGTCGTCTGTTCCCCTGTAAACACAGGTTACTTTGATCTTTAAACTCTCAACCCCTTTACAGGAGAACAGAAGACCCCACCGATTCAGCCAGGCCAACTATTCCCTCTAACGACCCCCCTTTCAGAGACATAGACAGGTATGGGGCATTGCAGGCTAACAAAGAAGCCAAACGACCCCCATTCCAAAGGGGGGGACCCGTTCATCCGTTTCTATTTGCATGTTTTCTAAACTAAAACCAGGCTTTGTTGGGCTGCTGGATAAAACCTGGAACTAAACGCTATTTCTGACATTTTGGATTGAAAACTCTTCCTGGATGGAAAAGAAACGTCTTCAAACTTGAAAACAAAGTCCAGAGGATTGATTTTAACTTTTTGGGAATAAACTGACTGGACCTGATTAGGGAAGGAATGTCTATATAAGACCTTCCAGCTCACAGTCATGTCAGAGTAAACCACAACCATGAGGTGGAAGGAACTGACTGGCAAAGGTTACTAAAGAGTCTCTGCAGCACTCAAGGTTCCTAAGAGCTCAGTGGCTCAATCATCCTTCAATGGAAGAAGTTTGTTCACGCTGATGACAGATGCAGTAGAGAAATGGGAGAAAGTCAACTATCATTCCAGCTCCACCAGTCGGGGTTTTATGGCAGAGCGGCGTGACAGAAGCCTCTCCTCAGTGCAGGACAGATGGAAGCCTGCAAAGAGTTTACCAAAAAACACAGAAGGACTCCCAGACTATGATGAAGAAGATTCTCTGGTCTGATCTGACCATGATTGAACTTTATGGTGTCAATTCTAAGCGGTATGTGTGGAGAAAACAAGGCGCTGCTCGTCACCTGCCCAATACAATCCCAACAGTGAAACATGGTAGTGGTAGCATCATGCTATGGTGGTGTTTTTCAGCTGCAGGGACAAGATGGCTGGTTGCGATCGAAGGAAAGATGAATGCAGCCGAGTACAGAGATATCCTGGATGAAAACCTCTTCCAGAGTCTCAGGACCTCAGACTGGGCCAAAGGTTCCCCTTCCAACCAGACCATGAGCCTAAGCTCACAGCTAGAAGAACAACTCTGGGACCATTCCAGAGCCCTGACCTAAACCCCATGGAGCATCTCTGGAGAGACCTGAAAATGGCCATCCAACGCTTAGCATCCAACCTGACAGAACTGGAGAGGAAGAACGGCAGCGGGTCCCCAAATCCATCATCATTTCTAGGGAGACTCATGGCTGTAGGACCTCAAAGGTGGTTTTACTTAAAACTGATTAAATATATTTAAAGCTTTTTAAGGCTAAACTGGAGTTTCTTAAAATTTAAGACCACTCACAAGACAAAAATTGAAATATAAAGTGTCAATGGAAAACAAACAACAAAAGTTTGGTTACAAAGGAAAGGTTCATTTTGGGTGCATTACATCTGCTGTTTTAAATGTCCTGAATGCCTAGAGATCAGCAGATCAATGAAAACACCAAGGCATCATATGGCTTTTAGGGCTGGAGGTGATGACTCTACCTTTCTGTTAGGCAGGTCCAGCGGCCTCCAGTTGTTGGCCCTCAGCTGGTGAAGCTCATCAAACTTCAGGCTTATGTTCTCAATGGAGAGCTGGAGCATATCCCAGAAGCCCGCCAGGTCTGAGGCCACTGGGCGGGGATGGATGCTGGGGTTCTACGATAAAAGAGAACATGATTGTTCAGGTGTTAAATCCAGAATAGAATTTAAAATCCTCCTTCTCACATATAAAGCCTTAAATGGCCAAGCTCCATCTGATATCAGAGATCTGATTGTTCCTTATGTTCCTAACAGAGCACTTTGCTCTCAATCTGCAGGTTTACTAGTGGTTCCTAGAATTTCTAAAAGTAGAATGGGAGGCAGATCTTTTAGTTATCAGGCTCCTCTCCTGTGGAACCAACTACCAGTTTTAGTCCGTGAGGCAGACACCCTGTCAACTTTAAGGCTAGGCTTAAAACTTTCCTTTTTGATAAAGCTTCTAGTTAGAGTGGCTCAGGTTATCCTGAGCTCTCTCTATAGTTCTGCTGCTATAGGCTTAGACTGCTGGAGGACATAGGGACCCCTTTTTCATCATTCTGCTTCATTCTATCTCTATAGTTCTGCTGCTATAGGCTTAGACTGCTGGAGTGTAAGCCTTCATCCTCTGACATGGGAGCTGGCTCGGAGCTCGTCTGCCTGGCTGTGTGTTTCCTGGACGGGGCCGCCTGTGGAGCTGGTTGACAGTTGCCTTTTGTATCTATGCTTCTTTTTCTATGTCTGCTTCTGTCTCCTTGAACCCCAGTGGGCCTCAGCAGATGGCCGCTCACACCGAGCCTGGTTCTGCTGGAGGTTTCTTCCTGTTCAAAGGGAGTTTTTCCTCTCCACTGTCGCTACAAGCATGCTTAGTGTGAGGGATTGCTGAAGAGTCAATGAGTCGATGCAATCAGCTGGTTTTCCTTAGATAGAAAACTTTGAATCAATCTGACTGGATGATCTGGTGAACTGGAAAGTGACCTGAGATGACATGATGTGAATTGGAGCTATAGAAATACACTGAATAGAATTTAAAGGCTGCTGCTAATACGTCCATCTCGTAACAACCAGCCGTTCGGACAAATGACATGCCAGCCGGGGTTTGGGGCGGGACATGTAGGAATGATGACAGTCAGCACACTGTAAGCAATTGCTGTAAATTTACAGCAAATTTTCAACACTAAAATGCTGTTTTCTTGTTTAACAGTTCAGTACTGTAAAAGGCAATGAATGCATTGTGGGCTTCTTAACTTGGAGCAACAGGACAGAGGCCGTAAACGGTATGCGGCTGTTTTAAATAACGGGATACTACAGTATTTTCTTAAAAATTTCCAGAAGACGACTGCAGAACACACAACGTGCTACCATCTGTCTTCATCACAACGATTCCAGCCTTGCATCTAAAAAATGTAACGGTACGTAAATCAAAATCTTTTTTTCTTTGCCTCTGTGTTTCCTATTTTATTTACATTGCCAAGAATGTTTGATATAGGCTAACGCTCAGGAGTTTGTCTAGCTAGGCTATATGTAAGCTATCAGTGATGCTTAGATTTGAATAGGGTAGTCAATATTCTACTATATTCTATTCTACTTCTCTATTATTTTGTTTTTGTTAAATCTTGGTTAACTATACAGGTGCTGGTCATAAAATTAGAATATCATGAAAAAGTAGATTGATTTCAGTAATTCCATTTAAAAAGTGAAACTTGTATATTATATTCATACATTACATACAAACTCATATATTTCAGATGTTTATTTTGTTTAATTTTGATGATTACAAATGACAACAAATGAAAATCTCAAATTCATCATATCAGAAAATTAGAATATTACTGAAGACCAATAAAAACAAAGGATTTATAGAAATGTTGGCCAACTGAAAAGTATGAACATGAAAAGTATGAGCATGTACAGCACTCAGTATTTAGTTGGGCCTCCTTTGGCCTGTATTACTGCAGCAATGCGGCGTGGCATGGAGTCGATCAGTCTGTGGCACTGCTCAGGTGTTATGATAGCCCAGGTTGCTCTAATAGTGGCTTTTAGCTCTTCTGAATTGTTGGGTCTGGTGTATTGCATCTTCTTCTTCACAATACCCCATAGATTTTCTATGGGGTTAAGGTCAGGAGAGTTTGCTGGCCAATTAAGAACAGGGATACCATGGTCCTTCAACCAGGTACTGGTAGCTTTGGCACTGTGTGCAGGTGCCAAGTCCTGTTGGAAAATGAAATCTGCATCTCCAAAAAGTTGGTCAGCTGCAGGAAGCATGAAGTGCTCTAAAACTTCCTGGTATGTGGCTGCGTTGACCCTGGACCTCAGAAAACACAATGGACCAACACCAGCAGATGACATGGCACCCCAAACCATCACTGACTGTGGAAACTTTACACTGGACTTCAAGCAACGTGGATGAAGTGCCTCTCTTCTTTTCCTCCAGACTCTGGGACCTTGATTTCCAAAGGAAATGCAAAATTTACTTTCATCAGAGAACATGACTTTGGACCACTCACCAGCAGTCCAGTCCTGTTTCTCTTTAGCCCAGGCAAGACGCTTCTGACGCTGTCTGTGGTTCAAGAGTGGCTTGACACAAGGAATGCGACAGCAGAAACCCATGTCTTTCATACGTCTGTGTGTGGTGGTTCTTGAAGCACTCACTCCAGCTGCAGTCCACTCTTTGTGAATCTCCCCCACATTTTTGAAGGGGTTTTGTTTCACAATCCTCTCCAGGGTGCGGTTATCTCTCTTGCTTGTACACTTTTTTCGACCACATCTTTTCCTTCCCTTCGCCTCTCTATTAATGTGCTTGGACACTGAGCTCTGTGAACAGCCAGCCTCTTTAGCGATGACCTTTTGTGTCTTGCCCTCCTTGTGCAAGGTGTCGATGGTCGTCTTTTGGACAACTGTCAAGTCAGCAGTCTTCCCCATGATTGTGTAGCCTATAGAACTAGACTGAAAGACCATTTAAAGGCTTTTGCAGGTGGTTTGAGTTAATTAGCTGATTAGAGTGTGGCACCAGGGGCCATCAATTTTGAACCTTTTCACAATATTCTAATTTTCTGATATGATGAATTTGAGATTTTCATTTGTTGTCATTTGTAATCATCAAAATTAAACAAAATAAACATCTGAAATATATGAGTTTGTATGTAATGTATGAATATAATATACAAGTTTCACTTTTTAAATGGAATTACTGAAATCAATCTACTTTTTCATGATATTCTAATTTTATGACCAGCACCTGTAATATACAGTAGCCGGACGACAGCTTACACACAGGCATGCACACCCCCCCACACCCACACGCACACACACAGGGTATTGGACCTCATTAGAATCCCATTTGCTGTCACTTTACTCCACTCTGATCTTAGACTATTTTTACGATTTTAGGCGCTTCATTGGTATAAATCCAGAGAGAAGGACAAAGGCCAAAAGGGGGAAGGTTGTCTCCAAGAAGAAAAGTGTGATCCTCCAGAAGAAGTTTTCCACAGTCAACACACAGGTCTCCTCCACACATGCTCCTGAAGAAACTCCTTGACTTCGAATGGGACTTCACATAGATCAGTGAGTTTTCCTTAATCTTGCTGTCTGTCCATGTGTTGTTTTGACAATCTGACATTGCCACATTAAGCCACAACAATTTATTCGTTTTATAAGCATTAGCTTGGAGAGTATATTGCACATTCCTGATTGTATAATATTTGTTTGTTATTGTTTGACAGTGGCTCCACTAGAATAATACTGCAGAAGAACGGTGGCTAACAAACGGAACATCTCTCCTGGATCCACAAGATTTGAATCAGGGTGGTTCACACCCACCCAGATTCCCGGGAATACTACTACTACTACCTCACAGGACTACTTTAAGAAGTAAAGTACAGTTTCTTCCCTAAATGTTCTCTTTAATCCATATTACTGTAATGATGTATAAATCCACATGTTCTAACTGTACTGTAATAGTTTTGAAATGGCCTTGATGCACTTTTTCAAAATGTTCTTACGTTTGTTTTCCACATGTTGTCAATTCTGCATACAGTATTCTGCATTTTCACAGACATCAGAAAATACATTGCAGATTACATAATATACATGTTTTAAGTGGAGTTTAGAGGAAAATTGTAATCTATCTCACAGGACTATTTTAAGAGGAAAAACACATGCTGGTTTGCTGAATGTTTTTACTCATAATAAAAAAGGTCTTAATGTTCCTACTTTGAAGTAGTCTTAATAATGTTTAAACTCTTACTTCCTCTGTATTTGTTGTGTTGGTGTGTAAAAGACAATGTTAAATAATATTGACATTGGCTCAAAGTCAGCTAGTCAGCTGTCTCTGTTTGCTACTCGAAATATCTTCTCAGCATCACCCACCACGGTTTATTTTCTGGGGAGGTTTTTCTCAATTTTTTGAAAGTAGCAATATTCAGTATTATATTGCCTTTTGAAATAAATTATTTTGATTCTTTTTGATTTGATTGCTTATTTTGCACAATATTCATAATAATGCTTGAGCAACTGTCTGTAGAATAATGAAGCTCTTATATTGATTGCATGTATTCAAGGTTGATATTTTAGGAAACTGCTAAACTGAATTGTTGTATTGTGTATCTACTGTGCCTCTACAGTAAACTTAAACAGAATATTATTGTAATTTCCAAATAATATAAATATGATGCATTTATTTTTTTAATGTATTAGACAGTGAAATCATTAAACAGTGAGAAAACAGTCTACTACTGTAAAGTCAATTTACGGTATGAAAACCCTAAAATTACAGTATATCGCTGGTGTCCTAGCTGCCAGCTCTTTACCGTAACTCATAGAAATACAGAAATATACCGTATTTCTGGTTTACGGTCTACTACTGTAAAATCAATTTACGGATGAATACCTTAAAAATAACGGTATATTGCTGGCGTCTCTGCTGCCAGCTCTTTACTGTTATTTTACAGGACAATTACTTACAGTGCAGGGCCTTGGCGGGGCTAAAGATGGCTACGCAGGAGGACTCACCTGTCGATACCGCGATTGACTCGATTTTAGGTAAAATAGCGATAATAACTCTTCTAAAAAAGGAGCAAAGAGACGCACTTTTTACATTTGTAGATAGGAAAGATGTCTGTTCTTTTCTTCTGACAGGATTTGGAAAAAGTTTTATTTCTTAGCTTACCAAACGTCATGATTCACTGCTATGAAAGGCGGGTACTAGCTAGTACGCCACCCAATCAGGTCGACGTATTGTACCAACGGTCCCTCCTTTTCATGGACAGACTGAACAGCCCCCATTTCAGACTCATAATGTAGAACTCACATATATCTATCTTCTGCCAGGTTACATCAATACAGCAGTGATATAGAATTAATAATATCTAAAAATGTGTGTTTTAAAAGGTGCAGAAACCAGGTGACGACTGAAGGATCCAACAGGGAATCTTTTTAACTCAAATGTTTCCGTTTCTGAATAACTTTCACTCACCAGGTTCTCTTCACAAAGTTCCTTGAACTGCTGGAACTTCTGGGAGATCAGCAGCTGGGCGCTTCCTACCGCCGTTCTTATCTTTTCCAGAACTGACAGCACAGAAAGAGGTTATGGTGGAACAAACCCACAGCTTTTTCAGAAAACTTCATCTTCACCTACAAGGTCTAGGAATAAAACCGAAAATAAAACAGCCTACTGTCTTCAGGCAGGTCGTTCTCCCGCTGGTCCAGCTCCATTTGTCGGCACCATCCCTCCATGCGGTCGGTCTCTGCCTGCAGAAGCTTCAGGAACCAGCGTCCGTCTCTCTGACAGACTGACCGTTGCACCACCTTTCAGCAGAATATTCATTTTACTCAGTCAGGAACTTTTAGCAAAGAATTGATGAATGTGGAACACATTAAGCACAACTAGGGCCTAAGAACAGAACATGGTTACAGACTTTGATTTTTACTGAGTTAATCAGTCAAATTCACATAACAGAGACACGTTTTTCAAATGTAACGAATTCAGCGTCTCAGCAGATTAGTCTATGACTTCAGGACTATAGGGTTGGACAGCTGGGAGGACAGCCGGGAGGACAGCTGGGAGGACAGCTGTCCAGCAAACAGTCCAGCGGTCTGCAGATACTTACGTAGAACAGACATAAAGACAGACCTGTCTTATGAATAAAAATGATACCACGGAAAGTAAAATTATTATTCAACTTTCCGTGTTATCATAAATTATTATTATTAGTGTATGAAAGACCTAAAATTAAGTGCGAAATAACGAAAATATTGAAAAGTTTTTATCGCGATGGGAAAAAAGTATAGATGACAAATGTTTAAGTATCGCGTTCACTTCGTGTTTGGGGTGACAGGGGTGTCGGCGGAAGAAGTTTTCCCCCCAACCGGAGAGTTGTTGGTTTAAGCCCCAGCTCTGGCTTTCAGTGTTGTGTCCTTGGGCAAGACACTTCACCCCATTACCTCCTGATGGCGGTCAGAGGGACTGGTGGCGTACGGCGGCCTGGCTTCTGTCAGTGAGCCCCAGGGCAGCTGTGGCTATGTAGCTCACCACCATCAGTGTGTGAGTGAATGACTGAATGTAGTGTGAAGAGTCCTCTGACTTGAAAAAGCGCTATAAGTACAGGACATTTACCATTTCTGAGCTCCGTTAACTCTAAAGCCGCTTTCCCACTGAAAACCAAGTTTTTTTTTAAACGGGTGGACCTGCTAACAGACGGCTTTTGGCTCTTATCGCATTTGACCAAAAAGCTGGTCCTAACCCCAGGAGTCAGAGTAGGCCCAGTAGCTGTTTGGATAACAGTTTATAGCAGCTGAGACCAGGAACACGTCCACGTAGTGATCCTTCAACAGTGCCTGAGCAGCCAGGAAATGGCTGGGTGACATTATACAGAAAGCGTAGTCCTACATCTCCAATTGAGAAGCGAACGTCGTGATTGGCAGCTCCATAGTCAGAAACGAGCATTAGAGACACCAGGGACCATAGTCAAATGGTTCCCGGGGGCCAGAACGGGCGACATCAAATCCTACCTGAAACTACTGGCTAAGGATAAGGTTAAATACAGTAAGATTGTTATTCACGCTGGTGGTAATGACACCCGGTTACGCCGATCGGAGGTCACTAAAATTAGTGTTGCTTCGGTGTGTAAGTTTGCCAAAAAAATGTGGGACTGTAATTTTCTCTGGTCCCCTCCCTGATCTGACCAGTGATGACATGTTTAGCCGCATGTCGTCGTTCAACCGCTGGTTGTCTAGGTGGTGTCCTGAAAACAACGTGGGCTACATTAATAATTGGCAATCCTTTTGGGGAAAGCCTGGTCTGATTCGGAGAGACGGCATCCATCCCACTTTGGATGGTGCAGCTCTTCTTTCTAGGAATCTGGCCACATTTATTAGTCCTCCAAAACCCTGACCCCCCAGGGTGCAGACCAGGAAGCAGAGTCCTAGTTTAACAGACCTCTCTGCAGCTTCTCTACTGTTACCCACTCTTTACTCCATCCAGACAGTGTCTTGCCCACGACCAAAATCTAATAAATTTCCCAAAGAAATCCTGTTAAGTAGTAGAAGCAGGTTTTGTTAAATCCTGACTTGAAATTAAAATGACTCAAGTGTAAGAATATGGAACAAAACCAAAGGTAAACGTTTCTTATTTTTAACAGCATATGACATTGTTTCGCTACAATTAGATTCATGAGTTCATCGCTATTCATCTTTCACACACTGGAAACAGAGATGTAGTTCAAATACTGGCCGAGGAGGAGGAGTAGCAACAATCTTCCAGTCTGACTTACTGATTACTCCCAAAACAGTTAATACCTGCAACTCTTTGAACATTTAACCCTTAATTTCCCTGATCCAAATTTCAAGGCAAGAAAACCTCTTCTTTTTATAACTTTGTATCGTCCACCAGGTCCTTACTCTGAATTTTTAGATGAGTTTTCAGAGTTCCTTTCTTATTTGGTATTAAATACTGACAGGGTCATCATAGTGGGAGATTTTAACATCCATGCTGACATTGAAGGCGATAGCTTAAGAGCAGCCTTTAATGCTATCTTAGACACTATTGGCTTTGTTCAAAATGTGAATAGTCCCACGCATTCTCATCTTCATACTTTGGATCTTGTGCTGACATACGGCATAGAATGTGAAGAAATAACAGTATTTCCTCGCAACCCTGTCCTCTCTGACCACTTTCTAATAACCTTCAGGATTACTTTAACAGAGTTCTCCTCCCCCAAAAGAAGGTTACATTTTAGTAGATCTTTATCAGATAGTGCAGTTATAAATTTTAAAGAATCTGCTTCACTTTCTCTCTCCTCTGTGTCACTGAGCAGTGCTGCAGAGTGCAAAAGCTTAGCTTATTTCCCTTCACAGGTTGATGATTTTGTTGATGGGGTTGCTAGTTCTCTGCGTACTGCCTTAGACAACGCAGCTCCTTTGAAAATGAAAACCGTTAAAAATAGAAAGCTGGCTCCTTGGTTTAATGCAGAGCTGTGAATTTTGGAAGATTTGTTGATAAAATGAGAGATATTGGAGAGGGTTTCTTAATGGAAGCTGGGGTAAGGCTGGAAGAGCGGAGGGGTTATATGGGAGAGAGATGACAGGATAGGAGACAGGCACTGGGGAATATCTGATTTTATCGTTAAAAAATAGTGATATAAATATCTGAAGAGAAAATGGCGCTCTACATACTAGTTGTCTCTATTTTCCACTGGTCTTCAGGGCTTCCGTAGTTTTGTTAGGTCAGGTCATCAAACCTTGACCAGCAGTATTTTCCTGATCCATTTTAGAAGCTAGTTCAGGGGGAAAACTATTATTTAAAGGGAACACATGAGGCCGTGGAATAAAGGGGAAATATGCATACACCACAACGATGATTTGGAAGGACTTGCAAGGAAATTGAAGGCAAACTGAACCAGCATGGCTACCACAGCATCCTGCAGCGCCATGCTATCCCTCCGGTTTGCCTTTAGTTGGACCATCATTTATTTTCCAGCAGGACAATGAGCCCAAACACCTCCAGGCTGTGGAACGGATGTTTGACCAAGAAGCAGAGTGATAGGGTGATGGGCCAGATGACCTGGCCTCAACAATCACCGGAACTGAAACCAATCGAGTTGGTCTGGGCTGAGCTGGACCGCAGAGTGACGGCAAAAGGGCAACAAGTCCTAAGCATCCCTGGGAACTCCTTCAAGACTGTTGGAAAACCATTTCAGGTGACGAACTTTGGAAGCTCATCAAGAGAACGCCAAGAGTGAGCGAAGCAGCAATTACAGCTAAAGGGGGAAGAATCTAGAATATAAGACATATTTTCAGTTGTTCATGAAAATAAAGAAAACTCTTTGAATGAGAAGGTGTCCAAACGTTTGGTCTCTATTTAAACATGTGTATGAAATGATCCAATATAACCTACAATAACTTCAATGCTATCATTGTTCTAGACCATCAAATATTTTCAGCTCAGTCTGTCCAATCAGCTGCCTGTGGTGTCTTTAAATGTCCAGCAGGTGTCAGTATTCTGTGAGACAGAATCAATGCAGCATCAATAGAGTTTCCAGAAGTGACATCAGCAGCTAGACGGAAGGCAGGGAGCTGGATGAGGGCAGAGGACATGGCTGATGTTGGTTCATGTTTTAAGAAACGCTACCAATGCTGACCCACCCACTGCAGGGGTCAGAGGTCACCTTATCTGTCTCCTGTTGGACAACATGAGGATATTAGGCTGATCATTAATGCATCCAGATCCACTGAAAGAGACGTCTTCCTGTCTGATGGGTGACAGACGTCCTCTTCCTAACGTTTCACCGGGTTCAGCGGTTCTTTCTCCATTGATCCATTACTGGGTTTGATCTCATCAACTTGGACTCTGCCTCTACGAGTCGATTGAATTGAGACCTTTTGACCTTCAGACCTTTATTGGAAATTTGAGTTGGAAAAATAAACTGCATCCAAAAAAAGGTATTTATTAACATTTTATCCGAAGCGTCACACTGTGAGACAAAGCAAAGGGAGTCCTTACCTCCAGGATGGCAGAGCTGTTAAAGTTGGCATCCGGGGGGTCGTCGGTAACGGTGTCTATCCAGGGGTCTGGTGGGGGGAGGATGGAGGGGTCAAAACCAACATCTTCGTAATCATCTGAGGTGCAGGCATGGTAATGGTTCCCTGAGCCCTGAATGCTGACGGTGGAGGTGGCCGCATCGCGGGAATATTTCCGAGAGAGGCCGCAGGATGACAGGCGTCCTCGGTGAGGATGTGGAGAGTCCAGAGGAGTGTCCAGAAGGTCTGGTAAGTCTAGATCTGCCTGGATTGTAGAACAGTAAGTAACTGAGAGGAATCGGAACATTTAGCTGGACGAACTTTAGTGGTGAACATTAATACAGCAGGTTTTCCCTTTACCTGCTCAAATTAAGACTGATTCAATTTCATTAAAGACATTTTATCTTTTCTATGGAAGAGGATTAGGGCCACTGAAAAAAGAAAAAAAAAGTTAACTGATTTTTAAATTTTATTTTAGTATGAGAAAAAAAAGTCAGAATTCCGATTTCTGACTTTAATCTCAGAATTCCGACTGAGTTCTGAGATCTAACAAACATCAAGCTGTAGAAATCTCTGTTTTAAAGACTACAGGTCCCTTTTCAGAATATTAGCATACTGTGATAAAGTTCATTATTTTCCATAATGTTATGATCAAACTTGAACATTCACATATTTTAGATTCATTGCACACTAACTGAAATATTCCAGGTCTTTTATTGTCTTAATATGGATGATTTTGGCATAAAGCTCATGAAAAACCCAAAATATCTCACAAAATGAGCATATCATGATAAAGGTCTCTAAACGAGCTGCTATGCACCTAATCATCTGAATCAACAAATTAACTCTAAACACCTGAAAAAGATTCCTGAGGCCTTTAAAGCTCCCAGCCTGGTTCATCACTCAGAACCCCATCATGGGTCAGACTGCCGCCCTGCCTGCTGTCCAGAAGGCATCATTGACCCCCTCAGCCAGAGGCTCAGACACAGAGAGATGTTTCTGAACCAATAGGCTGTTCCCAGAGTGCTGCTGCATCGAGGCGCCTCAGTGGGATGGAGAAAGTGGCAGAAAACGCTGCAGAAGAGGAGACCCTGAGGTAGATTGTGGAGAAGGTTCGATTCCAGACCTTGGGGGACCAGAAGCAGTGGACTGAGTCTGGAGCAGAAACATCCAGAGCCACCGTGCACAGGCGTGTGCAGGAGATGGGCTACAGGTGCCTCATTCCCCAGGTCAGCCACTTTAGAACCAGAAACAGCAGCAGAGGCGCCTGACCTGGGCTACAGAGAAGCAGCTCTGGACTGTTGCTCAGTTTTACACGTCGTTTGGAAATCAAGGAGCCAGAGTCTGGAGGAAGACTGGGGAGAAGGAAATGCCAAAATGCCAGAAGTCCAGAGTCAGTAGCCTCAGTCAGTGATGGTCTGGGCGCCATGTCAGCTGCTGGTGTTGGTCCACTGGGTTTTATCAAGGCCAGGATCAATGCAGCTATCAGGAGATGTTGGAGCACTTCATGCTTCCATCTGCTGAAAAGCTTCATGGAGATGAAGACGACCTGGCAGCTGCTCACAGAGCCCAAACCACTGGTTACTGGTTTACTGGTATCACTGGGCTCAGTTGGCCTGCCGACCTCCTGACCTGAACCCCATAGAGAATCTGTGGGATATTGTGTAGAGAAAGATGAGAGATCTAAGACCCAACACTGGATGAGCTAAAGGCTAAACGCTATGGAAGCATCCTGGGCCTCCATGACGCCTCAGCAGGCTGATAGCCTCCATGCCGCGCCGCATTGAAGCAGCCATTTCTGCTAAAGGACCCCCCCCCCACCAAGTATTGAGTGCATAACTGTACAGAATTATTTAAAGGTTCACTTTTTTTGTAGTAAGAAAACTTTTCTTTTATTGGTTGGATGAAATATGCTCATTTTGTGAGGTAGGAATTTTGGATTTTCATGAGCTGTCTGCCAAAATAATCCGTATTAAGACAATAAAAGTCCTGAAATATTGAAATATATTAATGTTTAAGTTTTATCACTACAATATTTAAAATAATGAACTTTATCACAATATGCTAATATTTTGAGAAGGACCTGTAAACTAGCTCTCTGTTTTAATCTCCTTCTGTTCTTCCATTAATCAAACAGCATCAGCAGGGACGGAAAAACTCTCCTAATTCCATCATTTTCCACCAATGTGTTCCTGTTTCTCCCAAACAGCTGAATCTGAGAGCTGCACATCTCTGCCTTCATGGAGACCATCAGCATTAAGATCCACTATTCTGAGATCAAAGATCAAATTATACTGAAATAAAATTTTAAAATCTGTTAAGTTTTTTAATATTTTTTCAGTGGTGGTAATCCTCTTCCGTATTTTGCAGAGCTTCTCCTGCAGATGGAAGTGAGGCTTACCTGTACGGCTGCCGTCACACTGTTGGAGCGCTGCAGCCTCCGATATCTGACCGTCAGAAAGACCAAAAAGCAAAATGTTAAAATGTTTCCGGTTCATTCTGGCCTCCATGCAGATCAATCATTCAAAGACGCTAAACGACTGAATAATTATCTCCGGCTTTAATTAATCAAATCTTCAATCATTCTGATAATTTTCCTCACCCTCGGTCGTCCTCCACCTGCACCCCTACTGAGGTGAACTTGGATGGATCTTCTGGGTCTGGAACCTCTTCAGGTCCGTCCACCTACAGGACATCAGGGATGTTTTTACCTGTGATTGATGCAGGTGAACGTGCTGCAGCTGAAGCTTTCCTTTCAGTACCTGGATGCCGATGGAGAGACACTTCCCCTTCCTGAGGGCTTCCTTCCTGCATTCGTCCCCATGTTCTTCGACAGCCGTTCCTCTACTCAGGTGGGAGGAGCTGGCAGTGCTGACCGTCATGGTGCTGTTGCTGACATGTTGACTGGCGGGTCCGTGGACCTAAGGAGACGTGGATCCAGGCAGAGCTTAGAGGAATGAAGGTGATGCTGCACACATGGACACCACCCATCTGCATAGTCTGGATGCTGGTCAGAACCAACTGTAAGGCATGGAGGAGGGAGGATGATGCTGAGGGGCTGCCTCTGGTACTGACAGTGGGATGACAGGTGAGATGGTGGACCATGTCTGAACGGCTGAGTTAGAGTCGCTGGTCTGAGTTTAGAACATTCGACTCGTCAGAGAAGCAAAGAACAGAGACTGACCGTAACAAACCAAACTGATCGACTTCAGTCTGAAGGAAAAATTAAACGAAAACTGAGAAAAAAGGAACAAAGTTCAGAAAAAAATTATTTTTCAATCAGACAGAAACAGATTAAACTCATTTCTTTCCGTCTGGGATTTTATGAAGCAGGAATTCTATCCCTGGTCCTTGGGGGCCCTGTACTAGTCCTCGGGGCCCTTTGCTGGTCCTCGGGGCCCTGTGCTAGTCTTCAGGGCCCTGTGTTAGTCTTCGGGGCCCTGTTCTAGTCCTCTGGGCCCTGTGTTAGTCATCGGGGCCCTGTGTTAGTCCTCGGGGCCCTGTGCTAGTCTTCGGGGCCCTGTGCTAGTCTTCGGGGCCCTGTGTTAGTCCTCGGGGCCCTGTGCTAGTCCTCGGGGCCCTGTTCTAGTCCTCGGGGCCCTGTGTTAGTCCTCGGGGCCCTGTGTTAGTCCTCAGGGCCCTCTGCTGGTCCTCAGGGCCCTCTGCTGGTCCTCGGGGCCCTGTGCTGGTTCTCGGGGCCCTGTGCTGGTTCTCGGGGCCCTCTTTCCTTCATGTTTTGGGTGTTTCCCAGAGAACCAGCAAAGGGCCCCGAGAACCACTGGAGGGCCCAGAACACCTGGACTAAAGGATCCCAGATTAAACCAGATAACCAGAATCCGGTCCTTGATCCTCGTCAGGTTTTCAGCTGCTGCAGGTAAAATCTCACCAACACCTGGAATCGCTGCTCTGCTTGTTTCCAAGGAGGAAATATTTTCCTTCCTTAAACTGTTATTTACTCCTTTAATCAAACAGGAAGTAAGCGGAGAACCAACCTGAGCGTTGGCGGCTTCTATGGCAGCTGTTAAGGCCTTCATGCTGTCGATGCTCTCTGTTGAGTTGCTGAGGCCCGACTGGATCGTCATGTCACCTCTGGACCCTTCCTCCTCCATGTAGGCATCCTGGGGGGTTAAAACAAGAAACCCGCTTTGGAGCAACATCAGCGTATCTGAAGGGGGGGGGCTGCTGGACGCATTTTGACTCAACCAACATTATTAATCAGAACGTTTTCACTTTAGTGGATCTAACCAAAGATAAATCACTGATAAATTTCATTGATGAATAAATCTCTAAATTAAAATATAAATAAAAATTATACTTTCAATCTCTTGTCAGATAAAAAAATTATTATTTCCTTCAGTTCATATCTCTGAGCTAAATCCAACCTGGATAATCCAACCTGGATAATCCAACCTGGATAATCCAGGCTTGATAATCCAGGTTAAGAAAGTAAAAATCCTCTACGCAGATTATTGTTCACCATATTTAACTCCACAGCAAAGACAGAAGCTAATGTTTAAAACATTGTTTTTAAACTCCAGTTTTAAGAAGCCCGTTTTCTGCCCGTCTTAGGGGCGGATTTAGGGAACATGGGGCCCCTCTGAATAGAGAACACATCAAACAGCCCCATTCTCCAGATAGAGAAATGTTAATAGAATAGACATCCATTATCTGTTCTAGGTTGTGTCCCTCTCTTCTTGTCCCTTTTCTTCTTGTTTTCCTCTCTATGTTTTGTACTCAGCTGACTTTTCATGCTGTCTCTAAAGGAATGAAAGATTTTTTCCAAGCACTAAGCTCACTTAGCTGATTGCTCCTTCCTGTGTTTCCAAAAAGGCCAAAGTAAATAACCCAGTCCTTCTTTTCACTGTAGACAAGCCATGATCTGCTTATCTGTTCTCCATTTTTCATTTGGATGAAATAATAGCTGCATGAATCATGACAGCAGACAAGATAGAGGAGAGCAGGAGGCGGGGTTACCAATCTACTCGCTCTGGAGAGCAGAGTTCGCTGCTTTTAGATGTTGTACCGCCCCCTGTGGTGCTGCTGGATCAGCCAGCTCAGCCTTCAGTCTAACAAGCTGTGGTCTGTCTGTCAGGTAGTCTTTGATCCAGGTGGTTGTTGGTGCCTCCACCTGAGTCTGCTGGAGTTTCTCTCCAAGTCAGTCAGGCTGAATCTGGAGAAATCAAAGACCACGATCCTCACAGTGCTGCCTGCCTGGTCTAAATGACAGTGGGTTTGTGGAAAAAGGTGGATGATGACATCATCAACTCCATCTCCATGGTGATAAGCAAACTGCAGGGGGTCCTGATAGCTGCTGGTTTGCTTACTGAGGTTAACCAGCAGAAGGACCTTCATGATGTGGTTGTCAGGGCAACAGCTCTATAGTCACTGAGGACTGCTGGCTGAGTCTTCTTTGGTCCTGGATCAAGGCAGGAGGTCTATAGTCACTGAGGACTGCTGGCTGAGTCTTCTTTGGTCCTGGAACAAGGCAGGAGGTCTATAGTCACTGAGGACTGCTGGCTGAGTCTTCTTTGGTCCTGGAACAAGGCAGGAGGTCTATAGTCACTGAGGACTGCTGGCTGAGTCTTCTTTGGTCCTGGAACAAGGCAGGAGGTCTATAGTCACTGAGGACTGCTGGCTGAGTCTTCTTTGGTCCTGGATCAAGGCAGGAGGTCTATAGTCACTGAGGACTGCTGGCTGAGTCTTCTTTGGTCCTGGAACAAGGCAGGAGGTCTATAGTCACTGAGGACTGCTGGCTGAGTCTTCTTTGGTCCTGGAACAAGGCAGGAGGTCTATAGTCACTGAGGACTGCTGGCTGAGTCTTCTTTGGTCCTGGAACAAGGCAGGAGGTCTATAGTCACTGAGGACTGCTGGCTGAGTCTTCTTTGGTCCTGGAACAAGGCAGGAGGTCTATAGTCACTGAGGACTGCTGGCTGAGTCTTCTTTGGTCCTGGAACAAGGCAGGAGGTCTATAGTCACTGAGGACTGCTGGCTGAGTCTTCTTTGGTCCTGGAACAAGGCAGGAGGTCTATAGTCACTGAGGACTGCTGGCTGAGTCTTCTTTGGTCCTGGAACAAGGCAGGAGGTCTATAGTCACTGAGGACTGCTGGCTGAGTCTTCTTTGGTCCTGGAACAAGGCAGGAGGTCTATAGTCACTGAGGACTGCTGGCTGAGTCTTCTTTGGTCCTGGAACAAGGCAGGAGGTCTATAGTCACTGAGGACTGCTGGCTGAGTCTTCTTTGGTCCTGGAACAAGGCAGGAGGTCTATAGTCACTGAGGACTGCTGGCTGAGTCTTCTTTGGTCCTGGAACAAGGCAGGAGGTCTATAGTCACTGAGGACTGCTGGCTGAGTCTTCTTTGGTCCTGGAACAAGGCAGGAGGTCTATAGTCACTGAGGACTGCTGGCTGAGTCTTCTTTGGTCCTGGAACAAGGCAGGAGGTCTATAGTCACTGAGGACTGCTGGCTGAGTCTTCTTTGGTCCTGGAACAAGGCAGGAGGTCTATAGTCACTGAGGACTGCTGGCTGAGTCTTCTTTGGTCCTGGAACAAGGCAGGAGGTCTATAGTCACTGAGGACTGCTGGCTGAGTCTTCTTTGGTCCTGGAACAAGGCAGGAGGTCTATAGTCACTGAGGACTGCTGGCTGAGTCTTCTTTGGTCCTGGATCAAGGCAGGAGGTCTATAGTCACTGAGGACTGCTGGCTGAGTCTTCTTTGGTCCTGGAACAAGGCAGGAGGTCTATAGTCACTGAGGACTGCTGGCTGAGTCTTCTTTGGTCCTGGAACAAGGCAGGAGGTCTATAGTCACTGAGGACTGCTGGCTGAGTCTTCTTTGGTCCTGGAACAAGGCAGGAGGTCTATAGTCACTGAGGACTGCTGGCTGAGTCTTCTTTGGTCCTGGAACAAGGCAGGAGGTCTATAGTCACTGAGGACTGCTGGCTGAGTCTTCTTTGGTCCTGGAACAAGGCAGGAGGTCTATAGTCACTGAGGACTGCTGGCTGAGTCTTCTTTGGTCCTGGAACAAGGCAGGAGGTCTATAGTCACTGAGGACTGCTGGCTGAGTCTTCTTTGGTCCTGGAACAAGGCAGGAGGTCTATAGTCACTGAGGACTGCTGGCTGAGTCTTCTTTGGTCCTGGAACAAGGCAGGAGGTCTATAGTCACTGAGGACTGCTGGCTGAGTCTTCTTTGGTCCTGGAACAAGGCAGGAGGTCTATAGTCACTGAGGACTGCTGGCTGAGTCTTCTTTGGTCCTGGAACAAGGCAGGAGGTCTATAGTCACTGAGGACTGCTGGCTGAGTCTTCTTTGGTCCTGGAACAAGGCAGGAGGTCTATAGTCACTGAGGACTGCTGGCTGAGTCTTCTTTGGTCCTGGAACAAGGCAGGAGGTCTATAGTCACTGAGGACTGCTGGCTGAGTCTTCTTTGGTCCTGGAACAAGGCAGGAGGTCTATAGTCACTGAGGACTGCTGGCTGAGTCTTCTTTGGTCCTGGAACAAGGCAGGAGGTCTATAGTCACTGAGGACTGCTGGCTGAGTCTTCTTTGGTCCTGGAACAAGGCAGGAGGTCTATAGTCACTGAGGACTGCTGGCTGAGTCTTCTTTGGTCCTGGAACAAGGCAGGAGGTCTATAGTCACTGAGGACTGCTGGCTGAGTCTTCTTTGGTCCTGGAACAAGGCAGGAGGTCTATAGTCACTGAGGACTGCTGGCTGAGTCTTCTTTGGTCCTGGAACAAGGCAGGAGGTCTATAGTCACTGAGGACTGCTGGCTGAGTCTTCTTTGGTCCTGGAACAAGGCAGGAGGTCTATAGTCACTGAGGACTGCTGGCTGAGTCTTCTTTGGTCCTGGAACAAGGCAGGAGGTCTATAGTCACTGAGGACTGCTGGCTGAGTCTTCTTTGGTCCTGGAACAAGGCAGGAGGTCTATAGTCACTGAGGACTGCTGGCTGAGTCTTCTTTGGTCCTGGAACAAGGCAGGAGGTCTATAGTCACTGAGGACTGCTGGCTGAGTCTTCTTTGGTCCTGGATCAAGGCAGGAGGTCTATAGTCACTGAGGACTGCTGGCTGAGTCTTCTTTGGTCCTGGAACAAGGCAGGAGGTCTATAGTCACTGAGGACTGCTGGCTGAGTCTTCTTTGGTCCTGGAACAAGGCAGGAGGTCTATAGTCACTGAGGACTGCTGGCTGAGTCTTCTTTGGTCCTGGAACAAGGCAGGAGGTCTATAGTCACTGAGGACTGCTGGCTGAGTCTTCTTTGGTCCTGGAACAAGGCAGGAGGTCTATAGTCACTGAGGACTGCTGGCTGAGTCTTCTTTGGTCCTGGAACAAGGCAGGAGGTCTATAGTCACTGAGGACTGCTGGCTGAGTCTTCTTTGGTCCTGGAACAAGGCAGGAGGTCTATAGTCACTGAGGACTGCTGGCTGAGTCTTCTTTGGTCCTGGAACAAGGCAGGAGGTCTATAGTCACTGAGGACTGCTGGCTGAGTCTTCTTTGGTCCTGGAACAAGGCAGGAGGTCTATAGTCACTGAGGACTGCTGGCTGAGTCTTCTTTGGTCCTGGAACAAGGCAGGAGGTCTATAGTCACTGAGGACTGCTGGCTGAGTCTTCTTTGGTCCTGGAACAAGGCAGGAGGTCTATAGTCACTGAGGACTGCTGGCTGAGTCTTCTTTGGTCCTGGAACAAGGCAGGAGGTCTATAGTCACTGAGGACTGCTGGCTGAGTCTTCTTTGGTCCTGGATCAAGGCAGGAGGTCTATAGTCACTGAGGACTGCTGGCTGAGTCTTCTTTGGTCCTGGAACAAGGCAGGAGGTCTATAGTCACTGAGGACTGCTGGCTGAGTCTTCTTTGGTCCTGGAACAAGGCAGGAGGTCTATAGTCACTGAGGACTGCTGGCTGAGTCTTCTTTGGTCCTGGAACAAGGCAGGAGGTCTATAGTCACTGAGGACTGCTGGCTGAGTCTTCTTTGGTCCTGGAACAAGGCAGGAGGTCTATAGTCACTGAGGACTGCTGGCTGAGTCTTCTTTGGTCCTGGAACAAGGCAGGAGGTCTATAGTCACTGAGGACTGCTGGCTGAGTCTTCTTTGGTCCTGGATCAAGGCAGGAGGTCTATAGTCACTGAGGACTGCTGGCT